AATGCTTTGATGTCAGAAAAAAATTATCCACAGATTTTAAGTTCTACCTACATAAGTAGATTGTTGCTTTAAAAAGTTGGAAATTTTCAGGTAAAATTTCACCTTCTAAAGCAACAAGACTTTATTTATGCGAGAGAGAGAGAGAGAGAGAACTTTAAATAAAAATATTCTTATTTCTTACTTATATCCAGAAAAATATTAATGACAGAGTGCATACTTGGATGTAGGTCTGGGCACGGATCGGTTCGGAATGGTAGAAGACTCTTTCATTAATTGTACCGAATTTTTTGATAAGCCAATTTCTCTTCCATTAACCGAATATTAGGACTTTTAACCAATTAGATCAGTTATTCAAATATTCGGTTCGAGTTATTTCAATAGCACGGTAATACGTGTAATAAAAAAATCAATAGTCTAATTCAGTACGAAATCAAAAAACTTAGTTTAAAAGTTACAAGTGAATATGAAAGATATATAATAAAATAGCAATAATGTTACCATAATGAAGAATTATGGGAGTCACATCCATAATCTAGCTTACAACATATGCACTTAGGTTCAAACCACCAACAACATAAACTAATTGAATTAAACAAAAACTAAAATAGGAAAAGTATGATGCTCTATAAAAATACTTTGGAGTAATATGTATTATTTTCATATCACAGAAACATGTGAGTGAATTTTCTGAATAAAGCATAGACAAACACATAAACAAGGGAAACACATAACCTCATATCCATCCACTGAATATGTTGTACATTATTTTATATGTTACCATTGACATTTGAACCATGACGAAGGCTCCTCAAAAGAGTGAAGACCCAAAACTAGCTATAAGCTCAACATTTGGGCCGTGCAATCAATCAGCTTCTGTTAGATGAGGATCAAAGAATGCTGGCTAGAAGAAGACGGGAGCTTCTACAATAAGGAGTTTAGAGTGAGAGCTTATTTGAGGGGTTGGATCAAATTATTTAAAATGTTTAAGTGCATGGATTTTCTCACATTTGTCGATGGTGGGATTGATACTCCTCCAATAAGCTACTCACTCTAAACTCCTCATTATAGCCTTTCCGAGAAGGAGACTACTTGTCGTGGCTCACTAGTGTTCTGGCGAATGAGGTAGCTAAGTTTATTGTTTTTGACTGAATTCTGATTAGTTTTATCATAAAAGATATACATATCGGATATTGACGCCTGTACGTAATTCCTTTTTGAAGAAACCACAGCCATTGCCCAGTCCTGTCTGTGGACCTGAATGTTTTGTTCTCCTTCTATTTCAGTTCTCATTTGAGATTCATTTTTATGTGATGCCATTTTTGTGAAGATTCAAGTGTGGTAATCACTGAAAGTTCCTTTCTTTTAGTATATATGTGGTAAGCTTTGATTATATTTTGTTTCCTATAGATTTTGGTTTTATGTATTTGAGGACAAATGGAAACAAAATAACAGCTTTCTTCTGGGTGATGGTAAGAAAAGGCAACCACCAGTGCTTTTGGTGATAATAATTGTAAGTTAGCTGGACTGATATCAAGTGATGTGTATTTTAGAGCAACTTATGTATAATGTACTGTTCTGGCTTTGCTCCAATATCAAATCATGCCAAATTGTTGAGCTCATTGATGAAAGTTCATGACAATTATGAGTCCTTGTGTTTTTTTTTTCCGGTCCTAAGAAAAAGAAAAGAAAAGAAGGCCTCAATGGCCTAAAAAATGAAGATAAGGTCATCTTAGCTTTAGTTATATGTCATATATGAATACAACTTGGAATCCTTCTCAAAGCCCCATGTCTATACACTTTCCTGTACAATTAATTTTCCATCTTCGCATTCACTTTTAATTTCAACAGTGGAAAAAAGAAACACATCAACTGGCTACATGTGCTCAGTTGTTAGGATACCATAGAGGTACAGGACAAGTTCACAACATACTAAGAGACATACACTTGGTTTTTTTTTTTCACCAACATCTTCCTGTGTTGTTGAAGCCTGGGGGAGGGAATCTACTCATTCTTCAATGGCCTTTCTGGAGGTAATGCATTCTTCCATGTTGTGTACTGTCACTTTTTTTGGGGTCAAATGTGTACTGTCACTTGGTTTCACTAGAGCTTCAGAATTTGGGTTACTCCGCCTGTTAAGGACTGTATAGGAGACCAAGTTTGGAAAGGTGTCAAACAAAAGTATTGGCAGCTTGATACTTATTACCTCCCTGTTACTCAGTCCGTAGACGATTTAGAATGACATTTGGGAGTTTGTTTTAATTTTTAATTTTTAGGTTATTGTAACTTCAAGGTATTTCATTTTGATCGATTTCACGATGTTTGCATTGTAGACCGCCCTATGAATTTATAGTTATACAATGTTATCTTAAGTCTGTCTAATCCACCCTTCCCTCAAAGTGCTAAATGGATGCCATGATAGCTGATAATTATCATAAAATATTGTGTTCATTGGAACCTGACATTATTGGCCTGAGTGTTCATCGCCTGTTAGGAACGCTAAAGACCATAAGCAGCATAATATATGAATTTCTTGTCTATGAATGTTATGCGGGTTATAGTAGCTATTGTTTACACATGACGATTGTATTTCGAAACATCCTCCGTACCAACGAGGTTTGCCATTTCTGAATATTAAATACCTTCGTTGCAGACATCGTGGTCAGATTGTGGTGCAGTCATATAAGGTGCCGATGAGGTTTGCCCATGTTCGGTTGCTTTAAGCTCTCAAAAGTAAGTGATTTCTCCTCTTGTAACAGTAACATTCTCCTTTCTGTAGCTGCCATCTAACATGGAAGTGGAGATGGGTAATCGGTCCCTGCAGCCATTTTCTCTCCAAAACATAATTCATGTACTGTTACTGGTAATTAGATTTCTTTGGTAAGAAAAAAAAAAACATTTGTCTGGACTCCAAAGCTGGCACAGGAGCAGTCAATTAAGATATAGCTCTTTGCTGCATTCGCTGTTCAGGTTGATGGAGATCCTTTGTTTCTCTATATATAGTACCGCCGTGCGGCTATACTATTTAAATATATTCAAATATTTGAACTTTATCGCCGCGCGGCTACACTATTTGAAGCTAGTTTAATATTAAATTGTATAGCCGCGCGGCTACACTATTTAAATATATTTCAATATTTAACAAATATAGCCGGACGGCTATACTCTTTAAATTTATTTTAACATTTAAAACGTATAGCCGAACGGCTATACACTTCAATATATTTAAATATTTAAATGGTATAGCCGGGCGGCTATACTATTATATCTCACGCTTTAAAGTTATTCGAATACAAATTTGCGCAATCTTAGGATTTGGGTTTTGCTTCGATTCCTACACTCTGAACTTTCCCTCCCTGCGTGGATCAAGCTAAGGCTAGGGTTTTCTCTGATCGACGCGATCCATCTCCATCTCCACAGAACGTCACTGTAAGTTCCCTTTATTTTTATTTTTTATTTATAAATAAATAAATAAATAAAAACTCACTTTTCATTTTCTGAAATTTTCACTGTTCAATGTGTTTTTAAAAAAAAAAATTTATTTCAAGATCGAGACATACTCATAGATGTGTATTCGTAGTTACATATTAGAATGTATGTACGTGTGTTATGCTTTGCTTTTAGACTATCCCGTTTGGTTTCTGAGAAATTGGAATAGAAAGTAAAGTATGAAGCCGGTTTTCTGTGTTGCTTTGGTTTCTAAAGATGGAATGGAGGTATTTTGTTTTTCCACTAGACTGTCATTTAAATTAAAATATCACTAAATTATTATGCAACTGTGGTGGACTTTGTATTTCCTTCATGTTTGCATGTGTTTGGTAACTGGCTTTTACCTCTGAATTTTGATATGAAACTAATCATGGTAGAACAAGGATATCATTTTCCTAATATATATTTTACTTGTTAAGATTGTGTGATAGGTTCCTTTTTTTCTTTTCCCTCAGTCTGGTGATATCCAAAACCAAATTCTCAACATATCTTTCCAGAAAATACAAAATTGATGTGTTCAGGGATATAATTAAAACTAAGAGAAAACCCATAACCACGGATTTTTATTTCACAACGCTGCATGATTCAGTGCATATATACGCACCTTATCAGCAACGAAGGATCAGAGAGGAGCCAATACCTCCCCTCATCTGGAGTTGGATTAGGTTCAACAATGTTTCTAAAGTTAAAGACCATCTGACAGCAATAGGACTACTCACTATGTGTTTCCCATCAGACCATTCCAAGCGAGCAAAGTTG